CAAAATTTTTAAAATGGATCAAAATATGAACTGAAATTGGATTGCACTGATAAATGAAAATTTTGAAAAAATAAAGTTTGTATCATTCTGAGACACACTATATCAAGACAAGTATATACAGTTTTTTAATCATTAATGAATAAAAAACATTATCATCTAATTAGCAAAGGAGATTGTAAATTGACAGTGTCTTTAAATTGTATTACTTTAAGAAAAAATATTTTGTGTTACATTTTTATAACACCGCTACAAAATATATACAGAATAACAAGTTAATGAAGAAAAGATCTTTACCCCTGTGTACGTATAATTTTCAAACCCACATTCTTTGTATGATAATATTGTACTAGTTTTTAGAAAATATATTGTCAGGTGGTGTTTAATATTTGAATTTTCTATAAATCCTATTTAATTTCCTATATAATAGTAATTTATAATGTTATAAATATTTGAAATGTATAATTATATAATACATAAAATAATTTGAAATTGTAAAATATATTTAAAATTAATTGACTTTGAAAAGAAAATCAAAAGAATAAAATAATTTTCAACATTTATATATAATTAAAAAAAGTAAAAATTTTATTTTCTTCAATTTTATTCTTATTTTATAAATTAAAATTTCAGTTTAAATAATATAAAATAAATATTTAATTANCATGCATGATAAAGTACATACAATATTTATTAATCTAAATACATATCTTCGCATGTAGCTATAAAATTAAAATATAATAAAAAATATTATTTTTCAAATATTAATATTTGTATTCTACTAGAATCTACTACTTTTTTCTCATAAACGTATATTTTCATAAAATAATAATAAAATTATTATTTCAATTATTTTTATTTAAACGTTTATTATATAAATATTGATATATTTATAGATTTATAGATTAAATAATTTAAATTTATGAAATTTTGTATCTGCAATTTTTTGTTTTTTAATAAGTGTTTTTTCTGTCATGTAAGGTGCTAAAATGTTTGGAACTGTAATACAGCCATATTTTGTTTGATATGATTCACATAGTGCAATTAACATACGAGGTATAGCACATGCAGTTCCATTTAAAGTATGAACATGTAAAATTTCTCCATTCTTTGTTTTATATTTTATACTAAGTCTTCGTGACTGATAATCTGTACAATTACTACAACTAGATAATTCTCCATACATTTGTTTTCCAGGCATCCAGCCTTCTATATCTACTTTTCTAAATATATAAATTTATAATATGATATAGAATATTTATTAGAATATTTATTAGAATATTTAAAATGTAAACAATTTTATGTATAATAATATTATTTACCTATATGCTGAAGCTCCTAAATCATGAGATGGCATATTAATTACTCGAAAATGTAAATTTAAAGAAGAAAATAAATTTTCTTGAATATTTTGAAGTTCTTGAAATTGATTTGCAGATTCCTCATGTTTTGAACATACAAACATTTCAACTTTTGTGAACTGATGAACCCTTAATACATATACATATATGTAAAATTGTGCATTGTATAAACATAAAATATATACTTAATTAAATTAATTATTTTGAAATTAAATTATTAATTTCAAAATAATTATTATGTTATATGTAATTATATTGACAAATATCTAATATATGATATTACCTATATAAACCTTTCTCTTGATGAAGATTAGATACTTCTGCTCTAAAACACCTGCTTACAGCAGCCATTTTTAATGGTAAATCTTCAGAATCAAATATGGTATTCATTATTTTATAAGCTAAAGACATTTCTGCTGTTCCAGATAAACTGTAATTTCCATAAAGTGGACTTAAATTATATACAAGATCTCTTTTATCATTTAATATTAATCCACATCTTTTTATTATTTCAGTAGGAATAATGTCAGGAACAGAAACAAGTTTAAAATCATATTTCATTAATTTTTTGATTGTATAATAAATCAATGCTTCTTCTAATTCTGCTAAATCTCCTAAAAATAAGTAACCACGTTGTCCTATTAAGGGTTTCAAAATATTACCTTTTAATGCTTTTAATTTTGTAACTAATGTTGAAAATTCTTGTGGTTTAAAGTCAAATTCTGGTTTGTGTCCATATTCTTTTAAAATTTTTGGTTCTGTACCATAGGATAATACTATTGGATCTATTTGATTTGGTATTTTATTTAATTCATTTAGGAATAATTTCTTTAATTCTGGTTTTTTTGAAAGTTCAAGAACTTTGTCAATATTTCCAATATTTTTCCTTGCTAATATATTATTATAAATAATATCTCGATTAGATGGATTGCATATATAATCTACATCATATTCAGGTTCTGGAATATGCAACATAGTATCTACATTATATTGTGTTGATTGTTTTTTTAACTGCAAAAAAAATGTATAAATATATAATTTTATTAATTAAAAAAATAATAAAATAAATATTTTTTATATTATATATATATAACATACCAAAATCCGCGTACTAAAAAATTGAGAATATTTAAAAAATTGACTAAATTGTTTTTTAGACCACATTTTATTAAAAAAATAATATAATTACAAATTATGTATATATATT